ATTTGAATATGACATTACTTTAAAAATTACTCTTTTTCTTTTCTTTTTTTTTACCAAGAGATGATTTTCCTAAACAAGCCAATTTGGCAAGAGATAATCCATATAGACATCAACATAACTTGAAATAAAATTGTCCATTTAAAGTGGGCTTGGAGTCCAATCCGCACATCTCTTGGGTCACTTCACTATCTTTTCTTTTTTCTTTTTGGGTTTATCATTTCCTTCCCTTCTTCACAAAATAAATTACAGACTCTCTCTCACTCTCTCGCTCGCCGGAGTTTCGTCTCGCAACTCCATCGACTTCGTCATCGCCGGTGTCGATTTATTCATAAACTCTCCTGACTTCGATGAGAAATTAGAATCAGATGCATTCAGTAACTTACCTTCTCATAACGATTCTTCAACAGGTTCGTATTCGTATTTTTACCAACTCTTTGATGATTCTTCCGTTTTACATACAGCTTCCGATTCCAATTCACAGGGATAACGACGAGAAGAAACCGTACCAACAATGGAGAAGAAGCTCCGGTCATCTCTCAAGACATCCGCCGAAGAATTCCTATCATCTGCCGTCAAATTAACCTTAAAATCGTCAAAACCGTCGCTGAAGAGCATCATTAACGCCGTCAAACCTTCCTCCGACCTCTCATCTTCTCTCCCAATCGCTCTTCACAACTCCATACTCAGTCACACACAGTCTTTCCAGAATCTCGGGGACGAAGATGATCTCGAGAGGCAGCAGATTCTTGCTTCTCTCCAGGTCCTCTCTCATATACTTCATCTCTGTCTATTAAGCCCCAAAAACGCTTTTTCTACCTCCGATTTACTGCCCGCTGCTCAATCTTTGCATAATAGTCTCATTCTGTTTGAGTCGGATCCTGTTCTATGCCACGAGATTGCTGGATTTTGTGAGTGTTGGTGGAAGGAAGGTTTCGTGGGTAGAGAAACCTTAATTTCTCAGTCGTTACCTTTTCTGCTCTCGAGGTCATTGACATTGAAGAAGAAAGTAGATGTCCATCGTGTCTACATGCTCAGGGAGGCCTTCACATTGTTTGATTTCGAGGACGAGAGCATTGAAGATCTGAGGATGCTGCTCATGCGTTGTGTGGTTTCGCCTTTGTATGTCAGGACAGAAGACGGTCAGAGATTTGTCTCTTTTGCTTTTGGCCTTAGCCGACAATTGATGAAGGCTGGTCTTGCTCTTGTTAAGGCTCAGATTCCCTTTGGTAGGAAATCTGTGATTGAGGGATTTGGCACGATTCTCTTTAGGGCTTGGAAAGAAGTAGAGCAAGATTTGAAGGGTGAGATTGAAGATGGGTTTTTGCAGGGCATCATTGAGAGTGCTATTCACGCCTCTTCTTGCGCCTTTGCTGCCTCTCTAAGGAGGGTTTTGGCAGGGTTTATTAGCCAGCGGACAACTCAAGGAGTTGAGAAGCTCCTCTTTGGCCTTGCTCAGCCCATGATATTTCGATCATTGCAGGTTTGTTTCTTAACTTCTTTGGCTTCTTCTCTAACAAGAAACATAGGGGTGATAAACAGGAACAATACAAGTTAGCCTATTGTCTAGAACTCACCTAGCCATCTTTAGTTTTCCATCTGATACTATCTTCATGAGTATTTTAAGTTGACATTCTTTGAACATTCGGTAGCAAGTGATCTCACTCTCCTATAATCTTTCAGGTTGCAAATTCAAATGTTCGTTTAAATGCTTTACATTTACTTCTGGATCTTTTCCCCATGGAGGATCCTGATGCAACAAAAGAAGCAAAAGATACACTGCTCGACAAACAGTTCTACTTGTTGGAAAAATTAATGAACGATGAATGCCCAGATGTGAGGTCTGTTGCTGTGGAAGGTCTCTGCCGAGTTTTCTATCTTTTCTGGGAAGTGATCCCATCACCAACCATTACCAAGATCATCACAAAAATTTTCGATGACATCTCACACGACTCCTGCAGTGAGGTTAGACTTTCAACGGTTAATGGTATAACTTATCTCCTTGCAAACCCACAATCCCATGGAATTCTTAAAGTGGTTCTGCCAAGACTGGGGCATTTGATGCTAGATAATGTTACTCCAGTACGGGTTGCTATGGTAGATCTGCTCCTGCTTTTAAGAGATGTTCGGACTTTCCAGTTCAACACGGTAGGAGGAGGCTTCCATGTATTCTTTTGTCACTTTTGTTGAGTCACTGGTTAAGTAGTTTCCTTATTATATGCAGGTAGTGAGCTTGGATGTGTTATTATCTGTGCTTGCCTCTGATCAGACTCTTGTTGCTAAGGGAATCGCTCGACTGCTAATACCATCATACTTTCCATCAAGAAAGAGAGCTGAAGAGGCATGCACGCGATGTTGGACACTAATAAAAAGAAACCCAATGGCTGGTGCAAGGTTTTGCGAATTCCTAGTATCGTTAGGAGCAACCGTTCCATCGGTACTGCAGCTTGTTGGATTCTTCTTGAATTCAGTCTTGTCAGGTGATAAGCTAGAGGAAAACCAGATTGAAGGCTTGCTTCTCGCTGCGTACTATCTTTGCAAAGATCTGGTTGCTGATTCTGGGTGTATGGCCTCTCTTAAAGAGCTGTTACTTGGAGAAAAATTGAAAAGTTTGCTAGCTTTTTCACCCACTGCACAGGCTCAGTCAGCTGTCTTTGATATTATTTCTATTTTCTCCCCTGATATGGTCTCTGACATCTTAGAACATTGCATGGCTTTAGTTGTCAACTGTGGTGGCTTGCCTGGGGATGCAGGACGACAGACCGAGTTGAGGTCTGTACACAAGTTACTCCTCTCTGCTAATGCCTTCCGTGACGTCATTGGAACTTTTACCAGTATCCTGCAGAAGACTGCGTACCGTTGTCAGATCAGTTTTGGCTATGAAGTAGAAAGAAAGAATGTGTATTCCATGCCTAGGAAGAAATCAAAGTCCTCTGGAAAATCTTCAACAAGGTGGAAACATGTTAGCGGAAAAAATGCAATCAGTTTCGAAGAAGATTACTCAGTTGCTGTAGGAATAGCATGGCAAATAAAGGATTTACTCATTACTGAAGATGCTCGGAAAGCGATACTTGAGTCTGATATTGAGGAGTTATTCCTTGCCTTAACAGTCATCTCACAGACTAGCATTCTACAATTCTCTTGTTGTGAATACATGGACGTGTACCCTCTATTGGCATATACTTCTCTTGCTTTCCAAGTGACTCTTCAGAATCTGAATGTGGTTGCTCAGGAGAATGTTAAGAAAATTGCTGAGGCAAGGACCTTTATCTCTCCCCTCTTGGCTCTTTACTCTTCACTTAATCAGATTAGTAATTCCTCAAATTACCATTTTCTATCAGGATATTCTGGACCAAACAATGGACCACATTCTAGGCTGTACAGATGAATTATTTCAGGCAGGTGAAAGTGGAGTGACATGCACCATAGATCTAGAGGCTAACCTTAGCAAGAAAGTGACTACAAGTAACTGCAACCAACACTACCGAGAACCAAAAAGAAGATTATCAAGTGCTGATAATGATGGTGAGTGGAGAGGTTTAGTTCATTATACATGTTGCCCAACATCAAGAAATATTTGTATGTAGCTGTGCTTGTGCCATGTAACAGTTTGCAATGAAATATACAAGTTTTCTAATATCGTTTTCATGCAGCTTCTGAGGGATCAAAGGAAGGAGGGGTACTGAACAAGGTCAAGATGCTAACCGCAATTCTCAAGTTTATTGTTGAGTCTACAGAGATGGGTCTGTGTTCCCACGTCCAAGTAAGGATGTTGAAGTTCACATCTGCATATCTAAAGTATGCCACCTCCATTTTCAACAACCATTCAACCAGTAAGTCACAATTTGAGGATGCAGATATGAAGGACATGATTCTGTGTATGAAAAGCACGACCAGTTATGCTGGAAAGTTCATAAACCTAGTGATGAGCCACACAACCGAAGCTTCAGGGCCTTTGTTTGAAGCTTTTGAACTTGCAAATGACCTGCTTGGATTATTCACCACGGTCGAGATATCTCTAGGCTCAGCTTATGCATCAAGACTTGTGACAGCTTTAAACCCTTGGATACCAGATTTGGTTCTTGCACTAGGACTTTGTTTCGTCAACAACAACAACAACTTGGACGAAGAAAATTCATACACCAGCTCATTCAACCACATCAAACTCTGGTTTCCGTCATGGCTACTTACGTGTGCGAAGATGGAACTAGATGAAGAAGATGAGACCTCGGATTTCCATCTCCAACTCCCGACATTTAAAAGACTGACAAACAGCATAGTTTCATTGCTAAAAGGTAATTCCAAGGTGGTAGATGGAATCGGTTATGTTCTTTTGATATGTTCAGCAGTGTGTATAGAGAAGAAGGATTACAGTGCAGCTCTAGGAGTGTTGCACTTTCTATGTGTGAAGTTGGTTGGTAGAGAAGACAGAGAGTGGAGAGGTCTAGACACAATGTTGGTCTCACTTGCAAGAATTTACCCGATAATAGAGGGAGATATTGGCGAAGAACGAAATGAAGATGAAGTAAAGAAGCTTGAAGCCGCAAGAGAATTGCTTCAGCCTGTGTGGATGTACCATGTCTATGAAACCGGAAGGTTCTGCATGATGGAGGAAGAAGAATAAATATCTTTTCTGAATTATAACGTATTGAGATCTCTTGTCTTCATCATTTGACTGCGCTTCAAGAGCTTACCATTATTCCTGGTCATAGAGCTTCAGTTCCAAGCTTCTTAAAGTGAGGAATTCTCTATCTATCTATTTGATTATTTGATTAGTAGTAGTACTCTAATTCTTTATCATGAAAGTTACCACCTTCGGACCTTATTTATTCCAAGCATTCTTACTGAATGCTTTTATCATCATCGGCCATGGTTTCTTCAGGTATCCGAACAAACTGTGTTTTTGTTCTTTCAAAGAAACCATGTTTCTTGTTGAGATTATAGCAAAAAATGCTTTGGTAATTTTCCTTGAATATCTTTTGTACTTGCAAAGACGCTTCAGGTCGTCGTCATTCGAAGAGCACAAGTTATCAAGTCTCTTGGTAAAAAATCTTGTTTTGAATGTTACCTGTAATTACTAGAATATTGCTCTATGTTACCTGTAAATTCACAGGGATAACGACGAGAAGAAACCATACCTCGTGTAAATCGAAGCATTCAGAGACAGAACAGCGAAGAAGAAGCAAAATCAATGAAAGGTTGATAAAATTGATTTTTTTTTTTTTTTGGATGTTTCTTAAAATGGGTTAGTGATGAGAAGAAGCTTCTTCATTATTTGTATGATTGTGGATACAGGTTTCAGAATTTAATGGAACATGTATCATGTAAATATAACTTTCACTATTGAAAAAAAGTGTACAATTATTGGAGATTACAATTCACATTCCATGTCCAAGTATACAAATACGACACCGAACAAAAAATCTTGTGATGAACCATAACAGTAATTATTGCAAATTCCAATAATTAACTTTGGTTAGAAGTTGAATTGGCAGTACTATTGAGATCCTTGAAATCTCTCCCACGAGCTTCAACATTTTCATCTAATTGATCTTGTATGGTTACAGATTCAAATCTCTCCTTGCCTTTGCCCCATAAAAGAATATAAAGTCCAATGATCACCACCAGAGACCCTATCACACTTTTTGTTTGTTTTCATGAAACATATAACTTGTTAAATTAAATTACTAATCTATAGCTTCAATGATAGATATAATTCAGTATTTGGTACCTTCCCCAGTAGATTTGTTCATGGAAAAAGGAGAAGCTTAAAATTGATGCAAACACTTGAATTAGAGGAATAAAGCTTGAAGTGAACACTGGTCCTCTCTGTTGGAGACACCATGACATTCCCACACAACATAACCCCAATGCTGCACCCTAGTTATATATATTTGGTTAGACTTTAGAGAAATTTGTTTTTCAAGATTTATTATGTTTCAAAGTGTTAAACCTTATACAATGTGTCTAAAGTTAGCAGTGTCTTGCCTAGATTCATAAGGACAAGTTTAAAAAAATGAGGCATTTGATCAAAAAAATTCACTTAATTTCTTAATCAAAAACTCAGAACAAAGAAGCATTTGATGTAAAAAAGTTTTTTCTTTGAATTAATTTAACACATAATTCAAAAAAAAAATGAGGCATTTTTTAAACTGAAGTTTAGGAAAAATAAATATAGTATAGTTTCAAAATGATACAAATACTGCAAAATCTAAGACAATATGTTCTTTTTTTTTTGTGCAATGTCTTTCACCAAACTATAAACTATCGTCCGAGATTTCAAACAATTTTGTTTTTAATCGAACTTGAACCTTCGGCATAGACCTTAAAACTACACAATTGAGCCAATACGTCAAACC